CGGGGGAAGCAAACCACCATGAGATACGATGGTGAACATGCCCCCGCCGTTCCACCCTCCCAGTATGCCAGTGCTACACCCACTTCCCAGCATGCATTTATTTGGTTCTCTGACGTGAGCCTTTCTTTTGAAGAGCTGTTGCTTATAGAATGGCATCCCTGTGTCCTATGAACAGTCAAACTCTTAATTACTAACCGGAAGGGCGGCAGTGTGAGCCCATCCAGCGGAGCTTTGGGAGACAGGCCTCCTGGATAACTGCTTACAGAAGGTCCGTGCCTTGAAATCCCTATGGAGATGGAGCAGGTCCTCTCGTTGTGCGCCAGAATCCCCATGACCCTGCAATCAACAAACAGCATGTACTGAATGTGTCTCCTGTGCCTTGTCTACACTCACTCAATAAGTTCTCCATGACAATTTCAATGCAAGCATTACTGCCCCCATTTTACAGAGCAAGAAACTGAGCCTCGGAGCAAGGAGGAAACTTGGCCTGGTCTAGCTGGGCCTCACAGCCCCTGCCGTGTCAACACTGAAAGGACCCAAGGGTTCAAGGGTTAATTGGACTGTACCTAAGCAGTCCAAGGAAGCTTTTATATAAGCATTTAAACTTTCACATATACACATTCCTCCCCTCTGTCCCCTTTAACAAGGAAGCAATTTTTAAAAGCACCCCTGCTTTGCCAAGTTCAAGGAATAAACCCTCCCTGATTTGTTTTGTACCCAAAACGCTGGGTTATTTTGAAGACCTCTTTTCCTCAGTTGTTGACAGAAAGTGGAACTCTGCACACAGATGGCTTCCCTTGTGTTTGAGGGCAGCCCTCCTTTAGAAAGAAGCCGAAGAGGAAGCTCCACCACTGTGCTCTTCTTCCTCTGCTTGAAACACTCATGCAGCTCGCAAAAGGCACCCCTGCCTAAGAAAACCAGCAAGGGTCTGGTCTGCAGCTTTCTGAGTGTGACGGTCCACGATGCACTCTTGAATTCCAGACAGCCTTCCCCCTGGGACCCTGCTTCTTGTCCCTGTGGGTGACTGTGTGTGTGCATGTGTAGTCCCGGTCTATCTGTTGAACATATCTGTAGAGCATTGTCCACAGGCCTTTGTTGGGCAGTGCCCTCCCTAGGTTAGATGTGCACGAGGTGCATCGAGGGAAGCAAAGGTACTGAGATGCAGGCTCACCTTCAGGAAGCTCACCCTCTGCGAGAAGAGAAGTCTGTATCGAGGGGACTGTAGTGCCACCCAGTCTAGGACAAGCAGGTGTAGGGGGCATTTCATAGCACTCTTGATGGCGTCTGAGAAACAGGGCCATCATGCACTTAGCGAAACGTGTGTACGTATGTTTTGCGTCAAATGTGGTATGGGAGCCACCCTTGCCTCCAGAGTGCATATTTCTATTGCAACCCTTAGGCTGAGGTTGTAGTTAGTGGTCTGCTGGCCTGCCTGGCCCACACAGGCCACCCTGGCCTATGGAGGGATGGGGACACTGCTCTGCAGGTTATGGATCCCTGATACACAGCCAAAAGCCCAGCATATAACTGCCTGGTGGGGTTTTTTTCATTACTAAAGTGCATGGGAGCCTTGATATTAAAGGTATCCTGAGTCAAATCTGGGATCCTCCTGGGAATGGAGAAGCTCCCCATGTGGCAAGTCAGGAGGGTGGCGTGAAAGGAGC